TAATTTATAATCAGTCACAAGAACGTCGAATCCGAATCACTTGAAAAAAACACGGGGGTGCTTAACTTTTTTCCAGGTGTATATATCCATTGTAATGAAAAAAATAAATAAAGAAGTGAAAATCCCACTAATTTTAAGCTGTTAGATTAACATTGGAATTGATATATATTGATACATTTAAGTTAACTTGAATCACATTTGATCTTTCTACGAATCGATAACATTTAATGCCACTGTGATTGTACAAACGTGGCTGTAATGTCTTGTCGAAAGGATTCTGTATTAAAAGAATGAAACAGGCCCAAAGATCACTTTATCTTTCATTAAATCTCATGGGTCGAGCGTGGCCTAGTGATTAGCATGCCCGTAGTGTGAATCTGAGGAATCATTGTTCGCTACTGTCGCCGCAAAAACACACTCCGTCCTTTAAACCCGTGAGTGCGCTATATAACAGTGATGGTCAAATCCCACTGTTCGACCGACAAGCGTTATTTATATAGATTTGTACAAAATTCTAAAACTAAATTTTGTCTTTCTCATTTGGTCTTATCAGATGTTATCTAATTTTGATAATTTATTTCATCATGTTCTTATTGTTTTCCTTATCAAATTGAAGCCTTTCGCATTTTATCTGCCACCTTTTTGAAAAAAATTGACCTGTTGCGTTCCATTTTGAAAAAAAATGCAAATTTTTCATCGTGTTTCTCCCAAATCACTGCTTTTATAAAAACTGAAGTGTTTAAAATTGTTTAATTATTTTTTCAGAAGAGTGAAAAACGAAATCAGGTGGTCAAGACCTTGCATAGCTGGAAAATACTTTAACCACCTAAATTATGGATGGCCAACTTTTTATCTGTGCTCTGCCCACCACGGGTGTCGAAACCCGGATTCTAGCGTTGTAAGTCCGCAGATACACCGCTGTGCCCCTGGGGGGCAACTTCTTTATGCTCGTGGGTTAGTTTCTTACTTGTAGTGTAGTCTGGGGGGTCGAAACTGTATGACCGGGTAAAGTACGTTCAGAGTATTTGTTTAATTTAAATCTTAATTTCTATTGTCTACTATAGGTCATCAGTTAATTATATGATTAGAATAAATAGCTGGGTAAACATTTAAAGAAAGTTCTAAAAACCGCCACGGGACTAATTTGCTTGGCCACTTTTTCGGGGGAAAACAGTGTCCGTGTAAAGTACATTCGTGGGTCGCTAGTTGCCTATTTATGACTTAAAACTATATCATTTCGATGGCTTGCCCCAAGATTTAGTTTTTCAACTAACTAATGAGGTTGGGGATGACACATTCTTCTTTGTAATTTCATATATTTATCTAAAGAATATGAACTGAGACCAACCGAGATTCGAATCCAAAGAACCTACAACTCGGGAAGGTACTCTAACTACCCAAACCAGGATAATTCATCTTTGTTTTTTTTTTACCCATGGAAGATTGGACAGCAGATGATATAAACGTTAGGAAGTCATAACTTGTTAGTTATTTGACTTATTGAGTGGGAATTTCCTATTATAATTTCCTCTGAAGTAAATATTTTAATACATAAACTTGAAGATTATTTTGTGGATAATACTTAGTTCACGGGTCGAATAAACTCAGTCGTGTAGCTGTCAGTTGGACCATACTGATGTTCTAAACACCCATAAGCAATGAAATCTCAATTGTTGCAATTTTAAGTCTTAACTTCATTGGTTTTCTGAAGACTGAAGATGACAAGAATCTTAATCGTACCTATGGCAACTAGTAAGTCTTGGATTTAAAGGACTTTTGGCATACTCGAAGAGAGTCGTACTAATTTTAGGAGTTAAAAACAAATGCAGAGTATAAAAAAACCCTCAAAAACAATGAGGTGCATGATGCCCGAAACTTGTGCCATCCGGGATTCAATAAATCTTCTTAGCATCCAGGGTGGGTGTGAAGTTCATTCAGGCAGAGAATGTCCTTATATTGAAACTGTCTTCTACGTTGAGTGTAAAATTTTTCGTATGTAAAAGAATGATCAGGGTTTAAACTAAAGGTAATTTGGAGACCAAATAAAAACCCATTTTCACGAATTCGCAACGTAATACTGTACATTTTCTATCTGTGAAAATATCTCGTTTTTTATGTAAACGTGTGCTATTTAAGGTATAGAGGGTAGGACTTGGCCTTATGTTGAGGATGGAAAGGTTCGATACAGAAATATTCTGCTAAATATGCTCCGTATTCTCAGTTGTAGGTGCGTTACAAAAGTAACAGCCAATCTCGTTATCCCCAAGAAGTAGGCAGTAGGTGCTGCTAGCTGACTGGCCAGCAGTCCCAAGGTAAGAACAGCTAGCTATTCATGAACCCCTGACTTGGCTGTTTAGTCCATATATCGCACAAGATGCCGCTCAAGCTAGAAAAATGAACCTTACATCATACCACAAATATGATGTAACATCTGGTACCTCATTTTCACAAAACATTACAAGGTCATCATTAAGATGTTTAGTACTGTAATGGAAATACCGAATAGTCCTTATTAAAAGAGAACCAAATGTTTAGTTATGTTTGACACAAATACGTTTTACTTTTAAGTTTTAAGTTCTTACGAATTCAGAAATCACTTTTGTAAGAGTCATTCCTAAGTTCCTACCTTTGTTGACCTTTTTTGATAACAAAATTGAATTTTACAAACCAGATTAATAAAGAAAGAAAGATATTAAAACTGACTGTTGTTCAAGTTCTGTAACTATAAGCCATGATATTTAGAAAAAATCTGGAAAGCACCAAAACGTTATTTTACTTTTTCTTGGTTATTACTTTCCCTAAAAGGTTACAGGGGTTATATTTTACCAACCGGATATCATGCCGAGAAGCTACTGGCATTGGCTGGAAAGTGTATATCGGCCAAACACAGATGTCAAGATGGCAGTCATGGCGTTAGAGAGCATGTTAGAGCAAGAGAAATGCGGAAGATGATGCGATCTGTAGCACGAGAAACCCGGGAGATGATGTGATTTACCGAAAACTATTTTGTTATCTCAAGAAGAAACCGCTTCAAGCCATCAGAATGAAAGTCTTGAGTAGTCAGTCGAATATTGATTTTCTAGGCTATAATCCTTTCTGAAGATTCACCGACACAACCGAGATCATCACAGTGAAGTAACTGCTGTATTCGGAGTTAAGATTTTCCTTTCATCCTTGCAAGAACCAAAAGACGATACATTATTATATAGTCGTAAATGACACAGGAAACATTTTTAATTGGATTTTTACAATTACGGTTTCTTTTGTCGAAAATTCATAAGGTTAATATAACCCGAGAAGATATTGTCTCATACGTTGGTATTTTATATTGGCGTTAAGAAAAACGAAGTGGAAGTATACTTACAAAACATAATTGGTGAAATATTATACTTTTGCTCGAGTTATTAAACTATTGTTGAATGTATTTTATTTTCCTTTTGTTTCCCATTTGCGCGACATTGAAATTATGTGGAGAAGAGAAACGGTTTAGGTAGTATATATATTAAGTTAGTGATTCAATCTGCATGGTGTGGCCTCACGTCTCCAGTTTTTCTTTCCTTATGTAAGCAAATGTGCACGTTTTTCTTATTTTAAACAGATAACTTTGTTTAGAAAGTTTTTCAGGGAAAGTCTTTGCTGCTCATTTGGATGAATTTGTACGATACCAATCGATATAGAAATATGGGTTAATCGATGGTGTTTCCGAGAGCTAGAAAACAAAACTGTTTCGTATAGCTATGAATTATTAGGCATATTTGGTTTTATGTGGTTGAAGAAATGAAGATTCGTCAACTAAAATATTGCAAAATCAAGAAATTTTCAAATGTAGCTATTTCTTTCTCAGAGTGAAATATTTGTGTAAATGAAAAATCATTACATGGATATCACGTATTTTTTTTAATACCACAATTTTTACTAAGAACCGTAATAAAAACACAGTCGCATAGAGACATAAGCTACTCTTTTAGTTTTTTAGTTGGTCTTTTCCAGTGCAATAGAACGCCCCCCCTTTTTTAATGTGATGATGTATTATAAAGTCAAACTTCTATTCATTCTACCACTTTTCGTGATGTTTTTGTCAATATTCAACTTCAACTGACGGCTCAATTGTAGCGTGCTGTTGCTGGAAATCAAAGGCAGTATTTCCGTAATGCGCATTTCTTGCAACTTATAAACACGCAAGCTTACATAGTTTTCTTCTAACTCTTTATTCATTATTGATCAGACAACCAATAGATCGGTTAGCACGTGATAACTGGAAAAGTGATTCGCTTGGAAAGGCCTAGCAACCACGGCAAACATTTACTCGTAGTCAAGTGCGACGCCGTAATTACATGGCTTAGTGATCGTCACAAGGCCACTCAACGCTTCTTTTTCAAAGCAAACTTAAAACAATATGACGTTTCTGCCATCCCTCCTCACACACACATACAAATCTTGACTTACATCTTTAGTAACCAACACATTGCCCTAGAAAGAGCCAAGAACTTGGGTTCAGTACTTCGTTATTAAGCAAAACCTAGTTCATTGATTTTTTCTTAACAAGTATTTCGTGCCATTCACCGTACCATATAAGGTAAATCTCAAGGCGCAGAGGGTCAGTGGTTCGTGTATAACTTGCTCTCTCACACACACACACACCTACACATATATTTGTAGAACCAGTAAATTAACGGCAATGTGTATGAATTTGGCAACTTGACAGTTTTTTCAATTTTTATACAAGAAACTTGACTTTATTTGGGCTGACTTATCGATACTAAAACGGTTTCTTATAGTTTGTGTTGGACAAAAAAATAAATAATTGAATATATAATATAGTTTAAAATAACATATCATAATACTTGCCACACCAGATGAGAAAAACGTATTAAAACTCCTAGATTACAGTAGTGTATTATATAGGTCATCTTAACTAGATAAATTGATTTGTCTGAGCTTGATTACACTTTACTTTAAAAAACTTGTAATGCTGGTTAGGGTGCTCGACTTGCAATCTGCGGGTCGCGGGTTTGAATCTTTCAGCTGTTGGGGCGTTATAATGTAACTGTCTGTCCCACTATTTGTTGGTGAAAGAGTAGCTCAAGAGTCGGCGATGAGTGATGTTGAATAGTTGCCTTCCCTCTATTCATGCTAATCTAAATTTTGGAAGATAAAGTTCAATATACAACCATATTTACACGCAGTTTAGTATTAGTTTCGTTTTGATAATATTTTCTTCTATAGGGTGGGAAGAGGCTGATTAATTTATTTAAATTTTGGTTTGTACTCAGTGCTTAAACACTGCTACATCTCTCCGAATGGGAAACCTGGAATCCGTTTCAAATTTTTATCATTATTTTTAAATCTAAATAAAGAAACTAGACATAGTTTTAAGACTCCCTAGGCTTCGTTATGAATTGTTATTTGGCTGATGTAGTTAGTAAGTTGTTAAATTGCAGTTGTTTGGGAAAACCTGTATTCCTTTCAAAGACTAGTTTTATATCGTAAATAATAACGTACGTTACTGTTTATCGAGAAAGGTGTTTATTTAGCTTACTACGGGGTTTGTTACAAGATCTTGTGATTAGGGGTGTCGACCCTCTCCAAAAGGCAAAATGCAAGCATAGTGTTTGTTCTCAGAGTTAGGAAAATGTTTGCATAAATATCCTATAAAGTTTTAAACTTTAAAAACTAATAAATGCTTCGACATGTTCAGTTTTTCATGTGTGTGTGTGTGTGTGTTTGGTAAATGGAAAAAAAAAATAGATGATATATTTTTCAGCATCGAAAATGTGACCTGTTAAGTCATCTTCAGAAAATCCGTATTAAGAAGACACTACGTAACCTATTCTATAAACAAATAAATGGAACATACAGGTTTAAAAAGAAATAATGCGAAGTTGACGGAACGTTAAATCTTCTCTTTATTTTAGGGCTGTACATGGCCTAATGATTAACGTGTTAGGCTGCAGCCGAGAGGCCCAATGTTCGAACACGATTCCACTTTTCACTGTTGGAGCGATATAGGTGTGACAGTCAATCCTGTTTTTCAATTAAGAGCTGCTTCAATGGCGGGCCCCACTTGTGGTCAGCATTTCTGAAAACGCGGATGACGCTGAGCCTGAACATGGAATCACTGACCTGGCCGCTTAGCCCATCAATGTCGAGGCCCAAAATATTAATACATCTTTTTATTCAGTTGTAATAGCTAAACTTACTGCGTCAGTCTTCGAATTCCTCAAGAAATTTCATTCATCAAATTGTAATATTAGATAGACACCACCTGTGTTTGTCTTATAGCACACAACACTGTTATACAGATTGTGCATGAAAGCAGAAGTCATTTTTATTTAACCAATTATTATTATTTATTATAAAACATGATCAGAGATTCCTAATTCCTCCTGTAGTCCTTGTAAAATTGTTTTAGTCTCTTTTTTGTATTCATGATTTACATCCTCTAACTAATTTTTATTAATTATTGCTTTATTTTCTACTACCTTTCCCCATCAAAGTATAATTTTGTGAGGATTTACGCACATTTTTGCCCCTGTTGAGCGATATCTAGATAGCTGTAGTTGTGAATAAATGAAGTTTACTTACTTAATAAATTTTTAGTAAAAAACAAAACCCTTCCAATATTATGTACATTAGTAAGCACTCGCTTTTATTAACAACTAAAGTTTCTTGTCAGTGTGTTTTTTTAAAGACTTATCGTTGTGCCAGGAGATTAGAACACTAGAGATTTATTATTAGCCAAGTGTGCGCTTATGAATGTGAAGCTACAGCAGTGGTTATTATTTATCAATAGGAAATGGAGTTGCCACATAATAACGTGTGCTTCTAGTTGTCCTGTAGTGAAGCCACTCGTAGTGCTTGTAAGCGAAGACTTTAGTGAATATAAGCGATAGTATTGATTGTCATCTAACCACGTATAAGGCGCGCCAATCGAACTGGTAATTAATGGGCAATGAATGAATTAGATGTAAGCATTACACGTTAAAGTACTTATTTCTCACTACTAAAGTTCTAAGTTATACTTTGTTTATTGTTTCGTATTGAATATCACAGTCTAATAAGTTATCAGCTGTGTTACGTTTATCCTTACTCAAGTTATATAGTTTAAAAAAAGTTAATGTGGAGGTCTGTAATCCATCTGAACGGTTTCAACGGACTTTTACCCTTCTGTTCTTGAAAGTTGACGTTTTGATCTGTTAGCGCAGGTTTTAACGATTTAGGATATCATTCAATCTCCATTGTTTTATTTGAAGCCCCCGTATTTTCTAGAGGTCGTTGTAGTATGGCAAAACTAATTTACATAGCCAATTAATGCTTTTCCTTACAGTTTCTAATGCATGCTTATTTCAGAAACAATACAAACGGACTTTTTAAAGGCCTAATACAAAGGTAACAAAATAATAGTCGTAAAAACTCTGCTTTAATGTCAGCATTATGTGAAGTTATATAGGCTTCCCCACTGAAACAAATACGAAAAGTAAAGAATTGTATGAAACCCAGTAGAATTTCTTCTGTGTAATTAGATCCCTAGCCTGCCTTCATACTGATAAGAAAGAAACAGCGTAGCTTGGTAGATAACCATATATCCTGGGGATAAGCCAGTAGTATGTGGCATAATTACCGATAGAAACAGCGTAGCAAGATAGATAGCCAGATTTTCTACTGATAAGCAAGTAGTGTGTGATACAATTACCGGTAGAAACAGAGTAGCAAGGTACATACCTAGCCTTCCTAATTATAAGCAAGTAGTGTGTGGTATAATTACCTATAGAAACAGAGTAGCAAGGTACATACCTAGCCTTCCTAATTATAAGCAAGTAGTGTGTGATACAATTACCTATAGAAACAGAGTAGCAAGGTACATACCTAGCCTTCCTAATTATAAGCAAGTAGTGTG